AGCAGTTTGCTGCCCCTCCCTTTGTAGGCTAGTGCTGAGTCCCAGAGTCCATTGAGGGCTTTCTGATACCACCTTTAGGAGAGTGAATGGTCCTGGACTAGAGTAAGAGCGACATCTTGTGGACAGAGCTGGCTTTGTTGGAGGAGCAGAAAGCAAGCTTTGACCGAATTCTGTGCAGCTGATCTTCTGAGGTTTACTCACTGGGGACCATTAATCCAACACTTGCTATGTGCCATGCATGGACAGCTCAGGGGTGCAGGGAGAGTTTCTTAGCTCTCACCCCCTCAAGCTGGGCCTTGAGGGAAGGGAATAATTTCAGAAAATCCAAAAAAGAAGGACCCCACCCAAGGGCCAGAGATATCTGATAATTGTCTGGGTAAGAAATAAACTGTTTCCCAGATGTCTAGGGAAATCTAGTTAAAGATTCAATGCAAAGATGGGTCCGAGATGTTGGAAAGTGTCTCTGGTCTCAACTCCTGGGTTAGACATGTGGGGGAGAGGAGAGATTGCAATGGTTTCAAGACTGTTTTTTTCTTTCAATGAAGGGGTAAGAGTGGGCATTTAGGGAGTTTAGGACCCTCTATATCCATCGGTCTCGCTGATTTTAGAAAAGTGAGAGTCGGGTGGGTCCCTACTATGGACCCACATAAACCTTGTTGTTGGGCATGAAATGTGGGGGGGGAGGAGAAATCCTCACCTTAGCTCATGGCTGGGTATTCAGGGGCTCACAAGGGATGTAGGCAAATAGCAGCAGCACAAACAGAAGCTCTTCCCTGGGCAGACAGAGATTTATACTAAAGTATTCCAACTCACCTCAGCTGCAGCTCTGGAAGAAGAATGCCCTCATCCTGGGCAGTTTGGGATGCATGGGACATGGGATGAAAGGCTGAAGCTGAGGGGAGAGGGCAGTCCTGGATGGTCCCTTCTCAGGTAACGGGAGCCCTGCTGCCTTGGCCTGTCTCTCCTCCCTCAATCCTCCCCAGTAATTCTGTCCCCAAGTGGACATGGCTCATCTCTCTTCTGCCTATGCCATCCCTCACTCTTCCATTCTGTGTGTGTGTGGCTTCCCCACTAGCAGCACCTTCTGCCCCTATCTTTGAGGGGACCTGGATCTTTCTCCCTGAGTACTTTACCTTCGGAGGAGGAGGACAACACAAAACCCCTCAACCTTTGGAGAGTGGAGACTCCTCACCAAGGCCACTTTGGGAGTTGGGACCTTCTGTCCTCATCTTTTGCAGGGAGTGGTATGGCTAGCTAACTTCGTAACCATGAGATTCAGGAGTGGAAAGGAACTCAGGGGCAAGCCCTCTCATCTTACAGAGAAAACAGAGGCCCAGAAAGACCAGGGACTTGCCCAAAGTCACAAAATACATGAGGAAGAGGCAGGGCTGCATTTGAACCCATGACTTCAGTCCAAATCCCATGTCCTACTGACCCCTACTGTTGGGACAAGGGGACATTTCCCCATTCTAACAAAATGTGATGTTGACTTCTTAGCTCTTTTTTTTCTGACCTAGACAGCCAGTCATTCAAGTAGCACCAGCTGAAGGTCAGCGGCTAGAGGACATTGGTCCATTGCAGGATATTCCTTCCCTTTTGTCAGGGTTGCTGTGTGAGAGTGCTGTTTGAATGCGTCAGAATGATGCAAACCAAGCCAAAGGAGGGGGCTGCAGACTGCCTCAGGGACACCCCTGCCTGCCTCCCCTTCTGATATTCAGACTGTGGCCTATGTTGAAACTTCCTACCAGGGATCATTGAATGATGACATTGGGACTGAGAGCCCTGAGATCTGGGGTTCTATTCCAGCAAGACCCTGGGCCCCCTGAGGATATTTCCACATTGGTAAGATCGGAATGAGAAGTCTCAGATCAATGATTTGGAGGGTCAGGTCAAAGTAAGGGCTCAGCCAACCTTAGTGTTGTGCATCTGAACACAGAGGCTGGTCCACCTAGGAGCCAAAGAGCTGGTGATTTACCAATTACACTGACCCGTACTCAGCCTTTCCTGATCAGTACCTCCCAGAGGTTGGGCTGTGTCGACACAGACTTTAGAAACAGCTTCCAGGGGAGATACAAGCAAGACCAGCAAGGGATAGAGCACCTCCCTCATAGCAGGTATGGAAAGCAGGGGTAATACATGACTTGTATAGAGGGTGCTTCCTTGGAATTTCTGCCACACTCAAGGGACCGATGACTAGGCAGACAGGTTTCCCTCCTAGCCCAGAACACTAGTGGGCTCAAGGGACACTTTTCGGCTATCTTGATTTTCAGGAACAGTCTCTGTCTGGATGTCCACATTTCCCAAATGGAACTCAGGTCTTCCCTCCAATGAACATCCATTTGTGCTGACGGTACCAGCAGGTTCCCAGGGCCAAGACCTTGGTGTCATCTTTGACTTTCCCATTCCTTCACACCCACACCCAGACATATCTCACATGGAGGTCGTTCCTGCCAATCACAGGGCCACCACTCTGGTTCAGGTTATAACACAGACTCTTGCAAGTTTAAAAGCATTAGTGTCTTACAGATGACATTATAATCTCTAGGAGGCTGTAGGCACTTTGCCTTTCATTGCCTTGCTTTGTGGTGGTTGACTTATCAAAGTTAATGACCATCTCTATAGTGAAGATTCTCAAATCTGCCAGTCCTACCCCAATCTCTCAGTTGGCCTCCAATCGTGCATGTCCAACTGCCTTTCAGACATCTCAAAGTGGATGCCCAGTGGACATCTTCCACTCAGTATGTGCAAAGCAGAGCTGATTTTCTTTCTTCCCAACCCTTCCCCCCACCCCACTCCTACCTTTCCTGTTACTGTGGAGGCACCACCATCCTCCCAGTTCCTTGGGTGTCAGCCTTGACTCCTTACTATCTCCGTGCCCTCCCACGTCCAACCTTTTGCCATGTCCTTAAATCCAGGTGGTAATTTCGTCTTTGCAACAGTGACTACCCAAGTCTTCTCATTGGTCCACCTGCCTCCAGTCTCTCTCCACTCCAATCTAGCCTGACCACGTCACCCCCCTCCTCAATAAAAAACACTTCATGCTCTCACTGATTCTTCTGTCACACAGCATTCCAGTCTAATCAGCCCACCATCTTAGCCTCTCCCTTTGTGCTTCTGCAGACGGGCCCCACCCCTTCAGCTTTCTCCCTCTGCCCATAGACCTTTTGGAATCTCAAGTTCCCTTCAGGATTCTGTCTCAGGGACAGATCTTGCTTGAGACTCTCTGATTCTCCCAATGGCCAGTGATGTTGAATTTACTTTGCATTTATTATGTCCCTACATATCATAGAGTGCATGAGGACATTTAGGGTTGTTTCACCTTTGGCTTTTTATCTCCAGGACCCAGCACAATGCTGGGGATATTGTAGGCACCTAAATGGAAGACTGAAATGCCCTGTTAGAGGCCATCAGTGGTCGTCTGTTCCTGTGAAGACCCGTCAGAATCAATGATTTTGTTGTTTCTATGAAGGCATGATCAAAAGTCATTAGGACTTTGCTATTTTGGGTCTAAGCCACGGAAAGAAACCCAGGCATCCAGATAGCTGGGGACCAAGGGCCCAGGGAGAGGACCCAGGGTAACTGGAGCATAGCAATGGTATAACAAGCTAAGCCTGTCAGGCTGGCAGAATGCTTCCCTGTAAGGTGAGAGGACATCTAACCCTCCCATTTAATATATGAGGAAACTGAGCCCCAGAAGAGTGATTTCATGCCTCTACAGGTTGCCCAGGCCTTTCTCTGCCAAGCCGTAGAAACCTCTTTCCCCTGGCAGCTCCAACCTTCACTCCACCCCTGGAGTACATCTCTCATTGCAAGAGCCCCGAGGCTCCTCTTCTGATTGACCAGATTCTTTCAGAAGATCAAGTTTAAGGAAGCGCCCCAGGTCAAAGATGTTGACATCCCTCTCCTGGGCTGTCCTGCTGACATCTCCCTGGCACTTTCTCTACCTACCCATTCAGCTCCCTTTATGCTTGAAGTTGGAGTCCCAATGTTTAGCATCTGGCACACAGTAGGCATTTAATAAACGCTTGTTGGCTAACTGACCAGTGGAATACACAGGCCTGGGAGTCACCTTCATCTTGCTAATAACTGACCCCATGGACCAGAAGGAGGGTGAGAAAAGAAAGAAAACCCAGCAACGTGGAAAGGGCACTAGACGCAAAGTCAGGGGACTTGGCTTTGAACCTGGTAGTTACTTGATACCTGCTTGACTCTGGGTGAGTGACTGACCCTCGACTCACATCATCAATGAGATGAGAGTAGGCCTAGACAGGCCAGGGCAGGAGGGCACCGTTTTGGTGTCAGGCAGTCTGCTGCAATCTGTGGATCCTTCCTCAAAATCACGTTGCTTTCTTAATCCATAAACGAAGTAAATATTGGGGAGAGATGAGTGAAAACAAAAGCATTTATTTCCCATCCAAGCTCACAGATCCAAAGTGAAAAGTCCCTTGCTCCTGAAGCCCCTTCCCAGCTCTCCATCTATGATCCTAGGAGGCCCCAGAACAGCCTTGGAGACACCCACACTTAGGAATAGGGGATGATGAGTGAGCCAATGAGACAGAGGAGCAAGCAGACAGGCAGAACCAGAGAGGGCCATCTGCTTACCCCTCACACATCATGCCTAGACTATTCAGGACCTGGGAGACTGAGATCCAGGGACTCTTATCTGACTCACCCCATGAAAAGATGGACGTGTCTTTTTGTGAGCATTGGGAGTGCCCCAGGAGCTGGGCTGACATCTGTTCTGAGGGGACACAGTATGTCATACTATTCTCATGGAGAAGGCGGAAAGACATGGATTAGAACCCGTGGCCTCAAGTCCACATGTGGCCCTCTAGATCCTCAAGTGCGGCCCTTCGATTGAATCCAGACTTCACAGAAATAAAAGGATTTGTTCTGTAAAGTTTGGATTTAAAGGGCCACACACCTCCTTTTTGGTGAGGTAATGGGGTAAAGTGACTTGTCCAGGGTCACACAGCTAGTTAAGTGTCAAGTGTCTGAGGCCAGATTTGAATTCAGGTCTTCCTGAATCCAGGGCTGGGGCTCTATCCACTGCGCCATCTAGCTGCCCCCCTTTTTTGGATTCCTGTATGTCCAAGGACAGATACCTGAATCCGGGAAGACCCTTCTGAGCCCAGTTCTGCCTCGACTCTCTCATGTCTTTCATTGGGAAGCTGCCACCCTTGCCCCCTTTCTGAAAAAGGGCAGAAGCGCCCCAGCTCTGGGCTCTTTTCCCTCTTCCCTGGTCCTGCCACCTGCTGGTGTCCTGGGCATGGCTCACAGGGTCTGGTGCATCACCGCCGTGAGCTCTGGGTACAGGGGCTCTGGGAAGGGCGAAGCAGCAAGAGAAGAGGTTTGGTCAGGGGCCTGCAGCCTAGTTTAGGCCAGCCCATGCCCTCCTGTCCTTTCTCCTTACCCTGGTCTGGATGCAGCAGGCCATGTCTGAGCAGGAAGTCCACCACCACCAGGGCACAATTGGGCTTGAATTTGCCAGAATTCACAGCTTCCCTGACCTGGGGGCAAGAAGGGAATAGGCTTGTAAGCCTTGGACTCCTGCCTGCCCACTGCCAGCACGCCCCAAGGCTGGCTCTGACCTTGTCCAGGGGCCAGAGGTAGAATTCTTGTGCTTCCCCATCTCCCACTCGGGGGGTGAAGTCTTCAGGCATTTCTAGGTCAAAGGTAAACAGGCACTCTCGAACCACAGCCCCAAACTCTTCCCCATCCATCTCCTCATAAGTGTAGCTGAGGCCGGCCAAGAAAGGAGAGAGAGGAGAGAGGCCGTCGGGCGAAGCTGGGGGCTGGCCACAGCAACCCTCTGCCCCCCAGACCGGTGGTGCTACTCTTACCTGACACAGCCCACTGGCTGGGCCTGCGCCACCAGCTCGGGGGGCACCCGGGCCTCCTCCCAGCTCTCCTTCACCAGGGTTTCCTTGACACCTAGCCCAGCACTTATGCCTCCGGCTGCCTGATGGGGAGACAGGCGAGGCCCTGAGCCAGGGCATCCCTGGAGGTCCTGCCTGCTCTACTTAAGAGCCAAGGTTCTTGTGTAGCTGTCATAATCACCACGAGGTCAGAACTTAGATGGCACAACGACCCTTAGTGGTCAGTTCTATTCTTATTCCCAATTCCGAATGAGAAAATTGAGGCCAGAAAAGTCATGTGAGTCCCCAGGGTCACACAGGGTCATATTATCCTGATTCCAAGTCTAGCATGTGACCCACTGGGCTATGGGATTCCTCCTACCTCCAGGGCCTGGGCTGGAGAGAGAACCCAAGGATAAGGGGCCCACCGGAAAGCAGAGAGCCTGAGGGGTCTACAGAACGGAGGCAGGGCAGTGGGCCTCGGTGGGACTATACCAGGTTGTCCAGCAGGCCTGGGTAGGTGGCCTTGTGAAGGGACCGCCTGGCCAGCCACATGAGCATCTGCCGGGACCCAGCCCCATCGTCTTGATGGTACACGAAGGCATTGAGATGCACCCCAAACTGGAGGACTCCCAGCAAGGCTGTGGAAAGAGAGGAAGGAGGGAGCCTCTGGGCTCCTAACCCAGGACCCCAGGGCCAGCACCCCCACCAGCCCCAGGGATCCCAGGCCAGTAGCCTGCTCTCTCCCCGACTCCTCCCCGCTTTCATTGCCCTAGAACAGCCTGACAGAGGGTGGCACTCACGGGCCGCTGCTCGCTCCACGTTAAATAAGGCTGGGGCTCCAAAACTGGGCCGCACCTCATATACCTGCCCCAGAAGAGGGAGGGGGGATTAGAGTGAGATAGGCCCCACGTGGCACCCTGACTCTCCTCACTCTCCGGGCACTCACCTCATCTCGCCACTTCGACAGCCTTGCCAGGCGGCCCTGGGCCCGCAGCTGGGCCAGGACCCCCGCCACTGCCTCTGTGCGCTCCTCGGGGCAATGACCCCCTCGGACCTCCAGGCCCTCTGCCACCTCCACGAACACATCGGGAAAGGATCGCAATTCCCGGGCAACAGCTGGGACCACCAGGCCCACCTGCTGGCCTTCTACCACCAGTGGGAGGCACTGAAACCCTGAGGACCCTGTGGGTGGGCAGGTGGGCCAGTGAGAGGAGGGAGGAGGAAGAGGAGGAGAGGTGGGGGAGGGGGGGGGAGGGGGGGGAGGGGTGGGGGAGGAAGAAGGCAAAAGGCTGCTTAAGGGCAGCTGGGGGCCCAGGGACCCCCGAACTCAGAGTCTGGAGCCCCGGAGCCCCGGGCTCTGACCCCAAAGCGCGGCAGACAGGCGCCTCAGCCCGGGGGTCCCCCGGGGCTCCCCAGTCCCGTCCTGCCCGGCCCGGCCCCAGACCTGGCCTCTGGGAGGAGCTGAACTGCCGCAGTAGCCGCCGGATCACGGCCGTCCAGCTCGAGCCCGAGCCCGGCCCCAGGCCCAGGCCCAGGCCCAGGCCGCCCGCCGCCATCCCGCCCCGGCCGGCCCGGGGTCCGGGCCGCTTCGTGGCCGGCTCGGGGTCCGGGCCGCTTCGTGGCCGGCTCGGGGTCCGGTCCGGTCCGGTTCGTGCCCGGTTCGTGTTCACGGTCCGCCTCCGCGAGCCTTAAAGAACCTGGGCAGCTCGCTGAGCTTGTGACCCGCGGGGCGGCCGGGTCTGCGCCCGGCTCAGCCAATCAGGGCTGCGCTCGCTCTTCGCGTCACGTCCCTCCCTCCTCTGGGGCGAGAATTCGCTTCCATTCTGACCAATAGGAGAGCGAGGGTGGGAAGCTCCTAGGAGACCCCGCCCCTTTGTCATTTCAACTTCGAGCCGAAGGGGTGGGGATAGCGGAATGTCTACGGGGAGCGCCCGGGCCTCGGTGGGCACGGGCTGGGCACCGAGAGAGGCCGCTGGGGAAGCTCAGGGCCCCGGAGCTGAGCAGGGGAGGTTCTAACCCTAACCCTAACCTACTATGCATCTTTGGGGGGGCGGGAGGCAATTGAGGTTAAGTGACTTGGCCAGAGTCACACAGCTAGTGAGTATTATGTGTCTGAGGTCGGATTTGAATTCAGGTCCTCTTGACTCCAGGGCCGGTGCCCTATCCAGTGCGCCACCTAGCGGCCCCATACTATGCATTTCTTAAGCACGAATCCAATCGGATAAACAATTAGGAAGAGCCTTCGGTGTTCCAGGCACTGTGCTGAGCTCTGGGGTCACAACTGATAAAAAGAAAGGTTTTTGTTGTTGTTGTTGTTGTTGTTTTAGGAGGGGAGGGCGGCGTTCGGCTCGGGGCTTCTTGTTCTCAGGTGAAGCGTTTGGAGCTGCACCCTCCAGCCCTCCAAGCCAAGGGGGCAGGTGGTGTCAATTAAACCTTGGTGAGAAGGTGAGCTTCGCCTGGGAGGTGCATCTTGTTTCGTGGAGTTGAAACCAGGCAGACTAGCCGAGGCACTAGTCCAAATAACACCGCCCCTCCACCCCCACTCCCAGGAACAGCTAGTGTGAAGTAGCCAGACACTGCCAGGGCACCCTTGGGCACTCTTCACTCAGGGAATACAAAGACAAGTGAAAGAGAAGACAGCCCCTAACCTCCAAGGAGCTCCTGTTCTCTCTGAGGAGGGTACCAACAACAGAGAACTGGACCTGGAATCGGGAAGGCCTGAGTTCGAACCCGGCCTCAAATACTTCCTAGCTCGCTGTGTGAACCTGGGCGAGTCACTTCACCTCCGCCTGCCTCAGTCTCTTCATCTGTAAAATGAGGATAATAATAGCACATACCTCCCAGGATGTTGTGCCATAAAGGAGATAAGGTCGGAAGGTACTTTGCAAACTTTAAAGCGCTATATAATTGCTCGCTAATGTGGTTTCTGTTACTGTTACTGCTACTGCTGCTACTTTTTCTCCTGCTACTGTTGCTGCTGCTATCACCACCACCACCACCACTAACACCAGCAAAAAGGAAGCACGTAAGTGGGTCAGAGAAGGGGAGGACGGTCACTTGGTTTTTATTTCCTCACCTCCCTACCCTTTTGACCTTTGGATTAGAAGAAAAGGGAACATATTTGGGAGGCTTGCATGTCTGTTAAAAAGGAGTGGGGAAGGGGAGGGGAAAACACCCTGTATCTGTTTGTCTGTCCACTAAGCTAGAAAACATAGGGTAGGTAGAGATGCCTCAATGTCCCTAAGTGTTGAAGAAAATTCCAGAAAAGGAGTCAGCACTAACAATTCTGTCCTCAGAAGTCTGAACAAATGCCCAAATTGTGGGCAACAAGCATGGTGAATGAGAGAGCCTGCCACAAGGGTAGGCTTGCGCTCTGACTTCAGCTCTTGGTGCAATGGTTCCAAAGACTGGTACATGGTTCTAGGAGGGAGCCCAGCATGCTTAGCACTATGGCTTGGCTTCGGTTTGGCCATTGACACATTTAGATAGACGATTTCTGTTATGTTCTCAGCTGTCCTTTCAAATGAGGGAGAGCAGGTAAAAGACTTTGCAAGCTGTCAGTCACCCCATCCCAGAACAGTGAGGAAAACAACACACCCACAGTTATTGGTTGTCAGTTTCTTTGTCTCTGGTGATGCTTTCCAGCTTCCTTCATATGTTATTCTATTTGGAGAGCCTGTTCTTCATCTACAGGGAAACCTGAGCATGAACTGTATTCAGAGACTTCTCAGGGCAAACTTTGTGTGGGACATAATGAAATAAAGAGAGAATGAGAACCAGCCTCATCCAATACCCTCCCGCCTGCCCCGCACCCAGGAAAAGCTCATCACTGGGATCACATCAGCTTTGGGATTCACACTCGGTTGCTTCTGCCGCTTGGATTGGCGGGCTGGAGAGCTGAGCAAAAATGACAACAACAAATAAAAACAAAAACCAACCACCAAAAACCCACCCCAAACAAGCAACCCCCCCTCCACCCTTCCAAAGCCCCCATTTAAAGAGGGCTCCGAGGCCCAGAGGACCCTATTTCCTGCCAGCTGACTCCATCGTTACCAGGCCTCCAAGCAGGCTGTCTTCCTCCTCCCTCCTCCACCTTTTCAGCTTTTGTGTGTTATCTTTTCCAGTTAGACTGTAAGGTCCTTGGGGGCACTTACCCCAGCCCTAGTCATATAATAAGTGCTTAACAAATATTTGTTATTGTATTGATAATTTGGATTAGCCACCGGGTTCAAACTTGGTCTAAGGAGGCCCAGAGAGTCCTGGGTCACACTCATCTTCTCTTGGTCACCTTACAATAACATAAAGCATTTGTTCTAGCTTACTTTCCAAAGCCAGGCTAGCTACATCTACCCCTCTGGCTTCTAAAATATCCCCAGGGGTTGGGAGAGAAAGTCTTCTCGTGAGCCATACAAACTCAAGCTAATGGCAGAGGCAAAGAGACCCCTCCCCTCTATTTTTAGGCTTCTCATCTTTTTTTAGTCTCCAGCAACTAGTGCTCCAATTCCATTTTGACCACTTAAAATCAATTAGTTTTCATGAAGGTGTATTTATTTCAATACTATAGCAAGAAAAAAATATAAATATTCCCCCCCATCACCTTGGGGAACATTCTTGTCTCAGTTTCTACATAGCATTAGCCCCACCAAAACTCACGAGATTGGACCAAGGACAGAGGTCACGTGACCTCTAGGAGAGAAGGGTCCAAGGCCCCTTCCCTTACACCATAGTCTCTCACTAGACTACACATTGTGAATAAAGGACCCCAATTATGAATAAAACAGCTGAAAGGACTGAAGCCAGAGAAGCTGCTTAAGGGCTGTTTCTGTGGTCTGTCATGCCTCCACGTGGTTATTAGATAGGGCCCAGTTACTGGAACCAGTCCACAACCTCTCCTAGGGACTTTTATTCCATGATGTTGATACAGTCCCAGAAGCAGGACCCTCTCTCTCTCCCTCTCAACCTTCTCCCTGTGGGAGATACTGTCCAAAGGTCTCTGGCCATGGGTTAGACCCCCATTACAATGAGAACGTCTGAGGTTTTTTTCAAGCCTTTTTCAGATACTGTGAGAATCAGTTCCTTAATGCATAAGAAGGGTTTGTCTAACCATCTCCACATCACGGCATCACAGAAACAGGAGGGAAAGATACTTTTCTGCAGAGCGGATATGCTGCCATCTGCTGGGACACTTTGGAATTGCTCTGCCACGGTTTCTGCTACCAGCGCTGGGAGGCTACCTGTGTTCTGGAGCTGTCTTTGGCTGCTGTTGACTCTTCCTTCGTATTCTCATTCTTCTGTGAGATGGACCAGTACAAATGCACCCCATGTAGGGAGCCAAAGGCCGATTGTTATCTGTTCAACCCTAACTTGTCTTGCCCATCGCTGCCCAGAAAAGAATTCATCTCTGATTTCATTGTTGCTGTCACTGACTTATTCAAATCATTCACCCCAGCCCTTTCCTGGGAATTCCTCCAGGATCTCATTTGATCTTTGTGTTAGAGTGAGAAAATTCTGCACAACTACTATTGAAAAGGTATCGGCTAGTACCTGGGCCACGGAAAGGACTTTGACAATCTTCCATAACAGACTTTGAGAAGAAGAGTATATGGGATACAGCTCATGAGTTTTCTCTGCAACTATACCAGAGCCACTATCCCAATTACATACAGACGGAAGCAGTTAGTTATCAATGGGGGACACAATTCAAAATTGCCTGTCTATGTACTGTCATACCATCTCCTTATTATATCAAAGATCAAAATTAGTAGTGAAAAACAGAATTAATAAAATGGCTAAGAAGATGGGACATTGGGGCAGCTAGGTGGCACAGTGGATAGAGTACTGGCCCTGGAGTCAGGAGGACCTGAGTTCAAATCTGGACTCAGACACAACACTTACTAGCTGTGTGACTCGGGGTAAGTCACTTAACCTCAATTGCCTCAGCAAACAAACAAAAAAAAAAAAAAGATGAGACACGCAACACATTCAGCTCCAGCCTGCCCCATTTAAAACAGCTGTTTACACTGAACACACTTAGACACAAACTCTAATCACTTCCTAGGGAAGTTAAAGTGCTATCAATCCACATAACAAGGAAAAAAAAGGAACTAGAAAATACCTATCCAGCAAATATATGCTTTGCCAACCAGTTAGAAATGGAAGTGAAGGGCAGTTGGGTAAATCAACTCATTTAAAAATATCACATTGGAATATTAGGAGCAGGATAGCCCTAAAAATAATGAGAAGTGGTGGAAATAACCAGTGAAAATTGTGCTTGTCGATGTCATCATCCCATGGTTTCAGTTATCATCTCTCTGCAGGTGACCCTCCTTCTGCTTGTCCAGCCCTAATCTCTCTCCTGATCTCTAACCTCACATCTCCAAATGCCTAACAGACATCTTCAACTGGGTTTACCATAGACATTTTAAACTTAACATGTCTGAAACCTAATTCATTCTCCTTTTCCCCAATTCTTCCTAAATTTTCTATTACCATCACTGTCCTTTTTATCACCCAAGCCGGCAACCTAAGTGTCGTCCTCAACTTCTTACTCTCCCACCCAAAACCAATCTGTTGCCAATGCCTGTCAATTTTACCTTTGTAATATCTCTTGAATATGGCCCTTCTCTCCTCTGATACTGCCACCACCCTGCTGGAGGCCCTCGTCTCCTCACACAATAGATGGCTGGTTTTTTTGCCTGCCACAAATCTATCCTCTCTTCAGCTGTCCCAGGGATCTTCCTTAAAGCACATACTTAAGTATATCACCTCTCCCCTATTCTCTACACTCTAAGGATTCCATATCACCTCCAGGATCCAAAATGAAATCCTCTGCAGGGCTTTTAAAATCCTTCACAAAATAAATAAATAAATAAATAAAAATTAGCTCAGCATCAGAATGGGGGAAAGGTGAGCCTTAAGTACAGACTGATTGGGGAGGGGCCAAGCAGCTTGG